TTCTTTCTTTCTTTGTTTTTTTTCTTACTTCCTTTTATTTTGTTTTGCTATTTCTTACAAATGGGAGACAGAGAATCGGAGAGGGAGAGAGAGACAGATATATATATATATATATATAGAGAGAGAGAGACAGAGAGAGAGAGAGAGAGAGTTCACTACTGCGGGCCACGAACGCATTGAACGAGGTACATAAGTGTGATTTTGGCCCGCAGTAGTGAACTCCATACATTTTAGTTTTGACGGACCGTTCTTTCTTTCTTTGTTTCTGGTCTCTCTCTCACTCTCTCTCTCTCTCTCTCTCTCCTCTCTCTTTCTCTCCCTCCCTCCCTCCATTCTTTCTTTCCTGCGTCTCTATCTCTCTCACTCCCTCATTCCGACGGATGCGTTTGGAAAGAATGGTCTGCTTTGTATTTGTTAAGTTGTGTTGTCCATTGTTATATCGAGTCATGTACGGGGGAAACGCAGATGTACAGTAATAAATAACAATGTATGTTGCCACGTACATATAGCCAATCTTTGGTAGGCGCCCGCTGACAACAACTAGGGAAGTAGTGAGGGCCTGTCTCTGTCCCTCTCTCTCTCTCTCTTTCTCTCTCTCTCTCTCTCTCTATATATATATATATATATCTGTATTTCTCTGTATGTACATATATTTCTAGATGTCAAGATTGATCAAAATCGGACAGAAGAGAAAGTCAGGCGAAGAGTGTGATGCAACGGCGGATCACTTTCTACTATTAAGGGCCAAAGAAGAGAAGACGACTGAGATGGACCGGAACTGGGGTCAGATAGTAGAGAAGCAGCGAGAACATATAGACAGCCTAACAGACGAGGTACAGAAGCAGAAACAATTGGCGAGAGAGATGTCAGACGAACTAGGCCGTATTAAGTCACTGCTCGTAGAAATGACTGAAACTGCGGAACACAGGATGTTCACTGTGTTCTGGTTGTTACTATCCGATCCAAAGTGTTTAGACATAACTCGTTTGAGGGAGGACATGACTGCCAGACTGAAGGCAATAGCTGAAACGAACACCACCACGTTTGACGAGTTCCAGACATGGTTGGATTGTGAAAGGCGCAGGCGCACCGCGGTCTTGAATTGGTTCGCCCCACGTCACAAAAAGAACTCACAGGGAATCACAAGGACTTGATATCGCATCTTGTGGCAGCCCTGAGAAGTGTGTGCTGAAGGAGGGATGGACATCGTATGATAGCCAAGAATATAATACGGGTTCGCTAACTGCTTTGTCACGCATTGTCGTCGACCTCTTGGCCTTCGCAGCAGACTGTATTCGCCACTGTAAGGAAACCGTAGACGAGTACGGTGTTTGTGATGAGGGTGTCGCGATTGTTAAGGATGACCTTCCTCGCAATATGACGTCTCTGTTGAACAATTGCTCCGACGTCATTGATGCCACGCAACACACACGAGGTAGGTTGTTGGATGGAGAAATGACGGTGACTTGTGCGAACGAAGTTGTTATGGGAAGTGCAGAAGGTGAAAGGACGAAGGCAAGTGAAGAAATCGACACAGCAATGCAAACCTCAATAGGAATTGGGACCATTGTTGGGGACTGCGCGCCTACGCCGCATGCCTTGCTGGCATGCACCCATGTTGCCGCACTGAATCGTCACCACGTTCGTCACAACTTCCCATGTGTCGTCGCTAGCAAAGCACCTTGTGCTGATGCAGAATCTGTTGCGCTGCCTATGACGACGGGCACATTTCAAAAGTTCGTTGCAAAAGTGAATTCCCGACAAATGGCGAGGCTGGTTGCGGACTGTATGTTCCATCTTATATCGTACATCAAAGAGATAATGGTACAGGTCGTAACGAACGCAGACCAGCATGGAGAGAATACCAGCATTGCAAGAAAGGACTTCACATCAACGACCGCTTAAAAACTCTCTACACAAGACGTCAAATCGTGGTTGCACGGGTGGTCAGGGACGCATGATCTCTGTCTCTCTCTCACTCTCTCTCTCTCACACACACACACACACACACACACACTATGATGTATGTTTATTGTTGCCTGTATTACAACTTCTTCGTCCACACTTTTCTGTATATAATGTTCGCTGCCTTTGCCCGTATTGATATACTTGTGGTTCAGTACTGCGTGTCATATCAGTGTTCACCGCTGCTGTTTGTTGTCGTTCTGGTCCGCAGTAGTGAACCGCTCTCTGTCGCAGCGTCTTTCCTTGTCCAACGGTATAAGGTTCACTAGTGTGGGCCAATGTCTGTGTCGCATGAGATGTTTGTTGGAGTTCTGGCCCGCAGTAGTGAACCTCTCGCTGGTGCTGCGTCTTTGCGTTTCCAACTACTTGTGGTTCACTACTGCGTGCCATATCAGTGTCAACCGATGCTGTTTGTTGTCGTTCTGGCCCGCACTAGTGAACAGCTCTCTATCGCTGCGTCTTTCCCTGTCCAACAGCATAAGGTTCACTACTGCGGGCCAATGTCTGTCTCGCATGAGATGTTTGTTGAAGATCTGGCCTGCAGTAGTAAACCTCTCGCTGGTGCTACGTCTTTGCGTTTCCAACTACTTGTGGTTGACTACTGCGTGCCATATCAGTGTCAAATGGTGCTGTTTGTTGTCGTTCTGGCCCACAGTAGTGAACCGCTCTCGGTCGCTGCGTCTTTCCCTGTCCAATAGCATGAGGTTCACTACTGCGGGCCAATGTCTGTCTCGCATGAGATATTTGTTGGAGTTCTGGCCCGCAGTAGTGAGCCGCTCGCTGGTGCTGCGTCTTTGCGTTTCCAACTACTTGTGGTTGACTACTGCGTGCCATATCAGTGTCAACCGGTGTTGTTTGTTGTCGTTCTGGCCTGCAGTAGTGAACCGCTCTCTGTCGCTGCATCTTTCCCTATCTAACAGCATGAGGTTCATTACTGCGGGCCAATGTCTGTCTCGCATGAGATGTTTGTTGGAGTTCTGACCCTCAGTAGTGAACCTCTCGCTGGTGCTGCGTCTTTGCGTTTCCAAATACTTGTGGTTGACTACTGCGTGCCATATCAGTGTCAACCGGTGTTGTTTGTTGTCGTTCTGGCCCGCAGTAGTGAACCGCTCTCTGTCGCTACGTCTTTCCCTGTCCAACAGCATGAGGTTCACTACTGCGGTCCAATGTTTGTCTCGCATGAGATGTTTGTTGGAGTTCTGACCCGCAGTAGTGAACCTCTCGCTGGTGGTGTGTCTTTGCATTTCCAACTACTTGTGGTTCACTTCTGCGTGCCATGTCAGTGTCAACTGGTGCTGTTTGTTGTCGTTCTGGCCCGCGGTAGTGAACCGCTCTCTGTCGCTGCATCTTTCCCTGTCCAACAGCATGAGGTTCACTACTGCGGTCCAATGTCTATCTCGCATGAGATGTTTGTTGGAGTTCTAGCCCGCAGTAGTGAACCTCTCTCTCTCTCTCTCACGCACACACATACACACACACACACACACAATGATGTGTGCTTAAGTGCTGCCTGTATTATTACTTTCTGCTTAGAGTAAATTTATGTCCATAATGTTTGCTGCTTTTTGCCTGACGACACACAAGTGGTTTACTACTGCGTGCCATATCAGTGTCCACCGGTGCTGTTTGTTGTCCTTCTGGCCCGTACTAGTGAACCTCTCTCTCTCTCTCTCTCTCTCTCTCTCTATCTATCTATCTCTCTCTCTCTCTCTCTCTCTCTCGGGTGAGGGGGCCATGTCGCAGCTACATGTTCTCATAAATGTATGTGGTGTCTCATGCAATAGATGGAACCCGCGATTGCATCGACTGTCAACGGTGGAGAGATATGCGCCATGGAGACGGAGGACATTCTGAAGGGTTTTGCAGATGGCAGCAAGGAAGGGAATTCGGCTGGAGGGAACAACGCAGACTGTGCAGAGGTGCTTGCGACAATATGTGCACAGACTGCAGAGATGATGGGTGATCGTGATGAAACAAAGAATGATGCAGGAGGGAGCACTTGTGAGACGGAAACGGTTGGGGAAGAGAGCGAGGAGGGAGGTCTGGGAAGCAGGGAATCTCTGACAGGGTGTATTGTGAAAGATGAAAATGTGGTGAAGACATCAGCATGAGAAGAGTACCCATATGACATCAATTGGGTGCCGGGTCATATTCAACCGGGTATTGTTGGAGGAGCACCCTGTTTTGCATTCAAAGTCGAAGGGACATGGGTTCCATTTCCTGCCCCCAAAATGAATACATGGCGAAACGTGACTTTGTCAATCGTGTTTGACAGAGTATTAAGGTTGAACGATGGGGCAATAGCAGAGGTAAAAGGGCGATATGCATTGGACATGTGGCGTGTTCTGGAGGCGCAGGGCGAGTTCAGGCTGAACGATTTTTTGTGCGACAGTTTTGATTGCGGACAGACATGGGTGATTGGCGGGAACGACGCAAGAGGGAGTACGGCGTGCCACGAGAGCGATGCGAGGAGGGATCCTAGGTGGGGTTGGGTGCCATATGTGATCCCGATTCCATGTGGCCGTGTGAGGATCATGATGCGTGATGCCATGGGAAATGTCTGGAGCACGCATTATGTGAATGGCAACTTCTCCTTCAGGCACCTCGACAGGGAGGTCTCAGAAGATGAGAAGAAGGCAATGGCATTTCCTACCCATACTGCTGGCTGCTTTTTCCCGCCGCTTCGGAACCTTATAGAGTCGGAGGTGGTTGAAGGAAAAGTTTTCACTGGTGAGGATGGCAGCACACACACACATGCAAGAGGGCAGGAAGCCACGTATGATGGACTATGCTCGCAGATATGAGACCATGTCACAATGAGGAGTGACATTCTGTCTGCCATGGACATTGGGGCCCGTGTCATCCCTGAAGGACAGTTGCAGTAGCATATGGCCCCTGAAAAGTATAGCTATCGTGTCAATTGGGTCCCAGGATGTTTGCATCCTGCAGTGATTGATGGCAAGGTGACGATGGCAACAAGACTGCAATCAGGGCATTGACTCCCATTGGGATGGATGCATGCAGACATTGTGGAGCATCGGCAGTTCCTCGTGGTTCTGGCACGTGTCTCAATTTTCGATGTGAATGTAAAGGACCACGTGCTGATGGTTGAACACGCAAAGCATTGCTGGGAGAAGATAAGGGAGGAGGAGCGTCAGATGGTGTGCGCGGGTTATGACTCCATGGCTGACCAAGGGATGTGGTCCATGGTTGAGGGGAGTTGTACGGGCCAAGAGTACGACGACGGTGAGAACAGATACATGGCTCGCACAGTTGCACGACCGTTCTTGGTTGTGTCCTGGTCGTAAATCCCATGACATATGAGCATGGTGGAGACGTCAGATTCAAAGACCCGCTTAGTGTGCCTTTCCATCTGACCTACTCAGATGGACTCCTGCGAGACATTCGGTATCTGCCGGATAATGACTTGGCAGGTTTAGCGCCGCCAGGCAAGAGGACAGAAAAGCGCTCAGAAATTTCCCGTTTGTCTGGTGAGGTGGAGGGCCCATGTGGTTCTGGTCGCGTCGGGGGGTGCTCTGCAACACAGGGTGACATGGGTGGCCCGAGCGATGTCGCGATGTCGTAGAGCCCGGGGAAGAAGAAGAAGTGAACGTCGGGACCGCCACGTGGGCAGACGCCCGCAGGCAGAAAGAACGTGAACCCGAAGGCGGTGCCAACGACCGGAGACACCGCATGTGCACGAACTCAGGTCCCCAGACGTCGTCGACGCCCCGGGATGGCAACTTTGTCGGAAATCAGAAAGTTGCAACGATCCACTGACCTTTGCTTGGCTTTCAGGCCGTTCTTGCGTCTCGTGCGCGAGGTCGTGGAGGAGGACATTGCTCCGGGTATGGGCGTGAGGTTTCAGATGACGGCGGTGCGTGCTTTGATGAAGGCTGCCGAGGCGTACCTGGTCGCCAATTTCGAGAACACCAACGAGGTGGCCATCCATTCGAAGAGGGTGACGATCCAGGTCAGGGACATGAGACTGGTGGATAGGTTGTCGAAGCCTCGCTGGGTTGAGAAATATCAAGGTATGTTGGACGAGAAGGCGAGAGCTGAGGAGAGACAGCAACGGATAGAGGCCAGACATGCGGAAAGGGATGGCAGCAGAGTAGGGGCGAAGAAGAGGAAAGCAGTGCCACGTAAGGGGGGGTCCGCGAAAAAAAAGGCAGCTTGAGAATTCCACTGTGTGTGCTGCATAACGGTTGTCCTGTCCAATCG